GGATGGGCTAGCCCATTATCCCCATCCTCGGTAACCAAGGGAAGAGAGGAGCCCAGCCCTGCCCCATCCTTCCAGCTGCAGCCTAGCCAGGCCTCCCAAGGATTTGCCCCTTCTGCCACGTGGTCATGCACATTTGTAAAGAGTTCTGTGTCATTCGGTGGTTTCAACCATCCGAGTGCTTGCTGCTAGCTTCCCCATTGGTTTCTCTAGCCCAGATATCACCATCTGGGTGTTCCAGAAGCCCTTTAGACTTGTCATGTTCAAACAGAGTTCCTCTCCTTTCCTCCCTACTTCACCACTGCCCTCCTCCCCCTCAGCTTAGCAGATGCCACCTCTGCTCTCCCAGGTGCCCAACCCAGGAAACTTGGGATTCATCATGGATGTCTCTTCCTCCCTGCTCACCCCCATCCCAAACCCCATCCAGTCAATCTCCAGGCCCAGTCTTCTCACTACCTAGGTATTTCTGGAGTCCCTCAACTTCTCTCTTGGCCCCTTTGAGCCTGTCCTCCGCAGAGTAGTCAAAGCGAGAATCTGCAAATTAAATTTTACCCTTTCATTCCCCTGATCTAGACTCTTCAGTGGCTCCCCACCGACTTGAGAACAAAGCTCAAACTCTCTAATGGGACCTTGGCTGTGTGTCTTCTTCCTAATTCTCCAACCTCATTTGTCACTCCCACCTCCACCCCAGAATACCATGCTCGAGCCCCCCCTTGACTACGTTCTATTCACCCACATCTTTCCAGCCTCCCTTTTGGCCTTTGTTCACTGTATTTCTTGATCTAGAAAGCTCTGCCCTTTCAAACTCCATTGCAGCCTTTATTTCTCAGTCTAGAAAGTGCTTCCTCTGGGAAGCCATCCACCACCTCACCACCAAATGTGGGCAAGGGGGCCCTCCTCTGCTCCACAGCTCTCTCTCATCACTACGTTCAGGAGGCTGTGTCATCATCTGCTCCCTTGTGTGTCCCCCTCACTTGAGTGAGTGCAAGGCATGTGGGAGCAGGGTCTTGCCTGCTGTGGTCCCTGCTGCATGCTCCATCCCTCGCTGTGCCTAGCGCGTGTGCACGCACGCACACACACACACACACACAGTGAGTGAAGCCTGAGAGAGACAAGGCCCTCATCTTTCCAGCAGCTGCTCGCTCTAGCTTGATGAGTCCTCGGTTGCTTTCAGGTAACTTTGTGCCCCTTGCCTCCGCCGCCCACCCACCCCCTGCCCCCCGCCCCGCCTCTGCAGAATTCCCGTCTGAGACTGCTCAGATTGCCTCCTGCCCACAGCTTCTGATAAGGAAAATGCTGTCCTTTCTGTCTTTCTCTTACCGAGCCTCTCTGACCAGGCGACCTAATTTAATGGTCCCCAAGCCATCCCAGCATTTCCGTACCCTTTCAAGATCACTTGTCGTCTTTCTCCCCCACCTGAAATTCACCTTCTGGCTGTGACTTCCATAAATTTTGTACATTTAATTCCCTGATGCTGTTCAATTCTTGCATCCCAGACTGAGCTAAGCCCCTGAAGTAATTTAAGTAACAGCTCAATTATCTCATCTCCCCTTTAATCTTTCCATTTCTATCAGCACCTAGGAAGCAGTGAAAAATGTGCAAAGTGTTTTCTGCCCAAACCTGCTTCTCCCTTGCAGTTCTTATCTCAGTCCGTGTCATCAGCATCTACCCTGTTGCCTGAGATCCAAAGCTTGGAATCACTATCCACTCTTCCCTCCTCCTCCTTTCTTTCTATTTCCAGGAGGTCTCCAAGATTATCTGCTCTTCTGTTGAGGTATCTCTTAAGTCCAGCCTTCTCTGGCCACACTGCCACCCACCCAGGCCCTCATCCTCTCTCTTCTCCTGGACTAAACAAGTCCCGACTGGTCCTCTCTCCAGCCCCAAGCCTATGCCCACACCCATCCATCCTCCCATCCACTTGTCCATCTATCAGTCCACTCATCCATCCACCCATCCACCCATCTATTCATTCACCTACCCACCCTCCCACCCATCTACCCATCTACCCATCCATCTATCCATCCACTCACCCATCCATCTACCCACTAATCCCTCCACTCACCCATCTATCCACCATCCCTCCACTTACTCATCTATTTATCCATCCGTCCATCCATCCATCTATCCAGCCACCCATCCTGCAATCTGTCCATCCTCAAACACACATTGGTTAGGTCATACCTCTGCTTAAGTAACTTTGATGACTCCTCACTGCCTACAGCAGGCATTCTTAGCCTTTGCTGCACATTAGAATCTTATAGAAAATGTTTTAAAAAATACCAATACTAAGGCTCTGTGCCTAGAGATTTTGATTTAATTGGTCTTGGATGGGGCCTGGGTCTTGGTGTTTTCTTAAAGCTTCTCAGGTGATTCTAGTGTGCAACCCAGGTAGAGAACCATGTGGCTTAGAGAATAAATTCCAAGCTCATTAGCCTGGCATTCATTGCCCCCTATAATCAAACCCTTAATCTGTCTCTCCAGCCTCATACCAGTGTTCTCCTAACATATTTGAAATTCTAGCTGTACTGAGCTACTTATCTATCTTTTATCCCTCGTGCCCTCTGTCTACAATTCTATCTCTCTCCGCCCCTCTGGCTGTTTGGAAAACTCCTACCCATTCTTCAAGACCCAGCACAACTGTGTACTTTTCTCATGGGTCTTTCTTCCATAATATCCACTTTGAGCAGGCACATTGCTGGGTGCTGGATGTGGTGCCTGGAACAGAACAATCCCTCCTCTGAAAGAACTTACAGGAGGGTGAGGGGTGGGGGTAGAAACTCCTTAAGGCAAATGTTCTCAAACCTGAGTGTTAGAACACCCAGAGGGCAGGTTAGAACATGGAGGCTGGGCCTATCCCTAGGGTTTCTTATTTAAATGGTCTGGGGTGGCCCTGAGAACTTGCATTTGCAACAAATTCTCAACTAATGCCAGAGTTGCTGGTCCGGGTACCACGGTTTGAGGACCCACGCCTTAGTGTGCGGTCACAGGCATGCTCTCTGCAGAGGTATCATTGAAGGTGAGACCGGGAAGAGAAGAGAAGGAGGCAATCATGAGAAGGGCTGGGGCTCATGGATTCCAGATGGAGGGAACAGCATGTGTGAGGGCCCCAGGCGGGAGGGAACCTGGCACAAAGGAAAGGGGCCTGTGTCCCTGGGATGTGGAGAGCACAGGAGGAGAGTGGTGCCTTCTCTAACTTCTCAAGCAGAACTGATGCTCTGCATGTGTCTCTATTATAGCACTTTACCACCTTCCACTGTAATCCTTCCTTCTGCCTCAGCCACTTGGGAAGGAGCCCCTCCAAGGTACATCGGTGTCACTGCCACCCATAGCCCACCTGAGACCTGACAGAGGAAATGCTGAGGGATTTGGGCGGGGTGGTTGAATTTTCATGTTCTAGCTTTTTCTCTAGGCTATAAGCAAGGAGCAATTTGTTCATTTTTTCTTTGGCAGCCTATCCCTTCCCTTGAAAATGCCCTTTTCTTTAGGCATTTTCCACCATAACCATCCTTTAAACCAAATTCCCTTCTCCCCAGTTCCTGCTACATAGATAGATTTTTAGCTCATTTGGTAATAGCAAGAAAATTCCTGTAAATCAGGAGCACCCCCTCCACCTGTCCTTCCCAAGCTCAGGAATTGGGATGGGGTGTGGGGCATGGGGGTGCTACAGATGCCCAGAGGCTGTCAGGGCTGCACCCCCCAGCACATCCCTTTGGCTATGGGAGGATGATGTGGTCGTAGTGAGAGCCAGCAGAATTCCCTTCCTCAAAAACACTGCTAGTTGGTGGCTGAGCATGTCCGTGGTCAGCTCTAGGAGGTGGCCCACCCTGGGGGCACGAGGGGAGCAATGCAGGTCTGGGAGGGACTTTGGAGACCACCACCCTCAGGAGGTCCTGTCCTCCACATCCTGCCTATCCACCCTCTCCTTCCCACCCTGGGAAGTGGAGTGAGGGCAGAATCAGGGTTAGAGGGCAGGAACACAGCATACCACCACATGTGGCAACGTGAGATTATGGGTTTGAATTTGGGTTCTAATTACCTTTCCCTCTTTCTTCCTGGAGAACAGGATGTATATACCCTTTACTGGGGATAAAAGAGGGGCCTTTGGGAAAGCATAGATAAGAGAGGGATAGTCTCTCATTTCATTTTCCAGAAACATCCCATTTCTCAAGCCTTGGGAAAGTATGCTAGGTAGATCTGTGGTTCTCAGACTTTAGTGTGAATCAGAATCCCTTAGAGGGCGTGTTAGAACCCAGACTACCACCTCTAGAGTTTCTGATTCAGCAGGTCTGGAGTGGGGCTTGAGAATCTGCATTTCTAACAAGATTCCTGGTGATGTTGCTGCTGGTCTGAGGACCACACTTTGAGAACCCCTGTTTCAGCATAACACCCATCTTAGAGGATGCTAAAAATCTCTCAGTTGTTACAGGAGAAAGGTTTATTTGTCTTATATGTACTTTACCCAAGCATCCCATTTGGGGAGATGGGTTAACATCATCCCAAATACAGAACCTGAAACCCTCCAAGCCCCCAGTTCCATTGAGAGACAAAGACATGTGTTTCCAAGAGGCCAAGGCAGAAGCTGGCCCTGGGAGAGGACAAAGGGGTTGGGGGAGGCAGGGAAGGGAAAAGGAGGAGTCCACTTTTTGTTTTTCCACTGCATAATTTTAGAACTAATACGAGTATTTTAAACACAATTGGTTGAGTATTTCTTAGCCCCAGGGAAGTCAGCTTCTGCCCAGAAGGGAGTGATACACATAGCAGATGCCACATGCCGCGGGGAGAGGAGAATGTGTTAGGCCTTAGAGCTGAAAGACCTGGAGTTGGCCCCAGTGCTGCTCTGGGACCTTAGGGGCGATTGCTTCACTAGCTGTAAACGTGTTCTAATGAAACTGAGCTTGAAAGGGCCCCATGAGGGTCAAAAGAGCTACGGTGGATGACAATGCAGAACACTGTGTGGATGACAGTTCCAATGAAGCCAACCTGAGCTGCCTTGGTTTCCACAGGAAGGACCAGTACCTCCTCTCGCCCGTGAACTGTTGGTATCTGGTCCTGCATCAGACCAGGCGGGAGAGTCGAGATCATGCCACCCTCAATGACATCTTCATGAACAATGTCATCGTCCGCCTCTCACAGATCAGTGAGGATGTCATCAGACTCTTCAAAAAGGTGGGCAAGGGGGCCACTCCACCTGCTCAGATATCTCTGCCCCAAGCTAAGCATTACAAAATTGCCAGCCAGGGTGGGATTTGGTTTGGGGGCATGGGACCAGGAGGGCAGGTGTGTTGAAGGCTGCAAGGGGCCGAGGGCTGGATGTGGTGTCCCAGACCCTGAGTCTGAATCCTAGATATGGCTGGTGGCCTCAGCCACTTCAGCCACCACCCGCACAAAAATAAAAATCTCTGCATAGTTGGCAAGTACCACATGTTCATTATAGGAAATTTGGAAAAATGGATATGAGCACACACACAAAAATTAAAATCACTGGGAATATTATCACTGCAATAATCACTTTGGTGCCATAGGGATTTCTTTATACAAACATAGGCAAATACATTTTCTGTAAGTTCTCATATGTATACATTTTCCAGTATACATTTCCCAAATGAGATGAGACTGCATATATGATTTTACTGTCTGCTTATTCACCTAATAAATTAATAACACTGCATTACAAAATTTTCCCAGGTCAATAAATTTATTTCTGTGCCATTTTTAATGATTCCATAGTATTTCATGATAGAGCTTACCCTAATTTATTTAACCAATCTTTTATTGTTGAACACTTAAGTTATTTCCATTATTTTACTCTTCTAAATAGCGCTGCGGTGAGCTGCTTTGTATATATACTTTTGTCACATTCACTGCTATTATCCTATAGTTGTTTTCTGCAACAAGAATTTTTGGGTCAAAAGTTTGCCCATTCTTAAGGCTTTTAACAAAGTGCTCGGTTGTTTTAAGAAGGTTTTACCCATATAAATGCCCAGAAGTCAAGTGTGCAGGAAGCAGTCACTTATATGTGCCCCGAGGTCTCTGTTTCCCAAGTTCCTTACACAGTGCCTGGCAAACAGTAGATGCTGTGGAAATGTTTGTAGAACTGAACCCACCTCTACGGACTTCAGTTTTCTCCTCTGTAGAATGGGCTAGTCCTCTAGCCTCTGTGAGCCTCATCTTCTGTGTCGATCAAAAGGAGTTAAGATCAACTACTTCCCAGGGGCAGTGTGAGGGTTAAAGGAAACTGTGTGGGTGTGGAGGGATACGTATATTATTAAGGGAGTGGCTCAGGGGTGTGGTCTTTGGGTCCAGAGTTCTTAAATTTCTGGATTCATGATCCTGGTTCCACCATTTATCAGTTGTGTGTCTTTGGGCGTTGTTACTTTAACTCTGTGCCTCAGTTTCTCCATTTGTGAGATGGTGATAAAAAGGCCCACAGGGCAGTGGGGAGGATTAAGAGGGTGTTGACCCCAAGTAAGGCACCGAGAGTGAGTGTTCAGGAAAGCTAGCTACCATTGTACCAACCAGTCCATAAGAGTGTTACTACTAAAATTATCGAGGGGCACCTGGGTGGCTCAGTCGTTGGGTGTCTGCCTTCGGCTCAGGTCATGGTCCCAGGGTCCTGGGATTGAGCACCACGTCAGGCTTCCTGCTCTGCGGGAAGCCTGCTTCTCCCTCTCCCACTCCCCCTGCTTGTGTTCCCTCTCTCGCTGTGTCTCTCTCTGTCAAAAAAATAAATAAAATCTTTAAAAAATAAATAAATAAGGGCGCCTGGGTGGCTCAGTTGGTTAAGCGACTGCCTTCGGCTCAGGTCATGATCCTGGAGTCCCGGGATCGAGTCCCACATCGGGCTCCCTGCTCAGCCGGGGGTCTGCTTCCCCTTCTGCCCTCTTCCCTCTCATGCTCTCTGTCTCTCATTCTCTCTCTCTCTCAAACAAATAAATAAAATCTTTAAAAATAAATAAATAAATAAATAAATAAATAAATAAATAAATAAATAAATAAAATAAAATTATCGAGCTCGTCTGTTCTTGCCAGGGGCCAATTTTAGGGATTAGGTGACCTGGGATTGCTAGAAGCACAGGTAAGAGGACAAGTTGATTTGAAATGTAATAATCTGTCTGTGGTCTGTATTTGGACTGTCCACTTGGAGGACGACTTCTACAGCGGAACTGTAATCACAGGCTCATTCCCTTCCACGGCACAATATGCGCTGATCCCCTGCGGGGGCTGTGTTTATAGAACGTCATCCAAGTTGAATATTTGTGTAAGCAAACGTAATTAGGGAGGTAAATACAGGGCAATAAAGGAAAAAAAAACAGCGCTTTGCAAAGCCAGGCTGAGGCGATGCCGATCACTCGCTCTGGCCCCAAGGCCCCGCCTGCTGCTACTGTCACATCTTTGTCCTGGGTGGGAGGGACTCACAGAGAAAGGGTCATCAGGGCCATTAGGAAATGAAGGGTCTTTTTCCTGACTGAGCCCTGGGACAAGTGAGATCAATCTTTTCAATTCTCATTTAGGCTGACAGCAGCGTCACTGGTGATGGAGGTTAACAGGGTAGAAAATAATGAAACAAGGTCGACAGCTGAGCTTCTGGCTGCCTTGTTACCAGGCCGGGGCCGGTGGAACAAAGGAAGCGACCTGACCCCTGTGGGCCGGGAGAGAGCTGGGCATGGGCCTGGCTGGCTGATTTAGCACAGTGCCGGCCCTTTGTGTCACATCAGTTGGAGATAACCTCGGCACGGAGGCTGCACTCCTTCTGTACTAATAGATCCCGCAGACCTCGGAACAACGGGGAGGCCAGCTTCTGGTCAGACTGGGGAGGGTATCGTCAGTCACCCCATTCTACAGATGAGGAGGTCCAGCCTGCAAACCTGCAGGAGAACCTAGACTTGTCCACTTTTGGCCTGTGGTTGCCACCAGCAGGAGCCCAGTATGGCTGGGCTTTGGGAGTTTGTCCCAGAACTGCTTCTCACTGACTCGTGAACCTGGGCAAGTCTCTGAACCTCCGCATTTGCCTACTTCAGCTCCCACTTCAGGGGCTGCTTGGAAGAGCCGAGGCAGGCCAAGTGTCTGGCACAGGTCTGGCATCCAGCAGGTACTCATTAAATGGTGGCTCAATCTTGATCCTGAAGAATGGGACCCCCTCCCCATTCCTGAGCTTGGTGGTAGCACTCGGGTGGGTGTTCCTTCACCACCCCACCAAGTCATGCTCTGCCCATGCATCTGCAGAGGGTGGGAGTAGCTTCCAGGCCACATGTCCTTCCTGGGCTTGTCTGGGGCAGCAGCTCTGTCTGCCAACTTCTCCCTGACTCAGGATGCTCTTTGACTTAATAACTTTCCTCCTCATGAGTCTCCAGTTCCCCTCTAGCAGTGCAGTCTCTTCGGACGACTAGAGGCAGCACTTCAAATTCCGCAAGCTGTCCCAAGATTCTTGTGGGCAGGTGGCCCTTGCTTTAAGTGTCAGATAAAGATCTGTCATAGCAAAAGGAACTGGCTGAGATCTTAGAGGCCATCCTAGGGGTCAGGGCTTTTCTGGTGGCCAAGAACAGAAACCCGTCTCAGCTGGCTTGCAGGAGGAAAAGGACTTACCTCCAGCCTTGGCTGGCTTCAGGGGCACAAAAGAACTCCATCTCTCTGCAACTCTGATCCAATTTTCTCTGTTTTCTAACATTTTTTTGGCGTGGGGTGAAGGGCTCTCTCGTAGTCTCTCTCCATGTGACAACCACATGGCCCCCTGCAGCTCTGGGCTCCCATCCCACCTGCTTCAAGTCCCGTGGAAAGTGAGAGTGCCCTTCTCCCAGAATGGAGTCTTCTGGGCTCTGATTGCCCAGCATGGGCTCACACTCTTGCAGCTGCACCAGCGGCCAGCGAGATGCAGTGCTCTGATTGACTGGGCCTGGAAACATCCCCACCCCTGAGGCCAGGTGTGCATTCAACTCCACCCAACCCATGGAGTCCTCTTACAAGAAGATGGGAGAGGGGAGCCTGGGTGGTTCAGTAAATTAAGCATCCAACTCTTGATTTCGGCTCAGGTCATGATCTCAGGGTCGTGAGATCGAGCCCTGCATCGGGCTCTGCTTAAGAGTCTCTCTCTCCCTGCCCCTCCTCCCCCCCTCCCTGCCACTTGCTCTTGTTTTTGCTCTGTCTCCCTCTCTTAAAAAAAAAAAAAAAGAAGGGAGAAATAAAACAATAGATGTCCACCAGGCCTCTGTTCCAGTCCCTTTATCATCCTCTGTAGTTGTTCTCCCTCTGCTAGATGTCCCTCATAAAGGGTCTTCATTACCTCTCAGGATGGCTCATTCCATTTGGGGACAGTCATCAACAGAAAATTCTCCCTAGTGTTGAGATGAAATCTCAGTGTTGACACTCATGGTCCTGGTCCCATCCTGAGGGCCACACAGATCAATCCACATGGAAACTTGTCTTTTGCTTGAGGACAGAAATCATGACCCCCCAACCAGGTCTTCTCCACCTCTGGGTAAATAGTCCAGGTCACTTCAGTTTTCCTCTGTGATTTGGCTTTGTGTTTTCCCCCTCACCTAGGTCATGTCTCAGGCTTCCCCAGCCTGCACAAGTTAATATTCAGAACCATTCAGAATACTCCAGGAAGGTGTGACCAGCTAAGAGTAGAGCAGGGCTCCCTAGCCACATTATTTCTAATAATGAAACCTATGCAGGCGTTTGCCTTTTTGACCTTAGTCTCATCACATGGTTGGCCCCCCTCTGAGCTCCCCACTTGAATCCCTGGGTATTTTCATGCCAACTGTTTTTTAATCTATCTTACGAATTCTGCACTTGTTTCTTATATTTGGTCTTTTAAAACTCCATTTTGTTAGAGTCTGGTCAAATGGGATCAGTGTTTTTATTTAAGTGATTTTTCAAGCAGCAATAGGGTAACTTTTCCAAGAGGTCCTAATTCCTCCTCTGTGGGGAAAGCCTGTTTTATAGCTTCTCCATGTCTCCCTTTGTGTTACCTTCTGCTGTGTGTCAATTCTTTAACCCCATGTTTGAGTCTTCCTTACCTTCTTAGTGGAGAGGTGGAAAGTGGGTCAGAGGGTTGAGGATGCGTTCACAGTGGAGATGACGTTTTAGATGGGTGTTGAAGGATGAATAGGAGTCTGCCAAATGGGGAAAGGAGGTTCGGAGTTCAGTGTTCCGAGAAAGTCAAGAGC